CACACACACACACACTCTCTCTCTCTCACACACACTCTCTCTCTCTCTCTCTCTCTCTCACACACACACACTCTCACTCATTCACACTCTCACTCATTCACTCTCACACATTCACTCTCACACACACACACACACACACACACACACACACACAGCGGTCGCAGTGAAACTGTCTGTCTGACGTGTGTGTGTGTGTGTGTGTGTGTGTGTGTGTGTGTGTAGGATCGGATGGTTCTGCTGGTGATGGGAAACATTGTGAACTGGTCACTGTGAGTAACGCTGATCATCATCATCATCTCACATCTCTCTCAATCACATGATATGAGCACACACATGACCTGTGTGTGTGTGTGTGTGTTCAGGGCGGCGTACGGCCTCATCAAACGACCCAACGACTTCGCCTCGTACCTGCTGGCCATCGCCATCTGTAACCTGCTGCTCTATTTCGCCTTTTACATCATAATGAAGGTGCCGCTCTCATTATGACATCATCATACTACTTCCTGTGGTCCTGACGTGTTCCCGCAGGGTTCTTCAGATCCGGCCCTGACCGACGGTGGCCCTCGAGGGCCGGATCTGAAGAACGGTCCTGTGGTTTCTGTGAGAGGAGCTTGTGCTCCGGTGTTTGAACTCATTCAGTTGAATTTGAGTTTTAGTCTCGTTCAGATGTTTATTTGTGATTGAACTGTTGTGTGCAGCTGCGCAGTGGTGAGCGAATCCAGTGTCTGGCTCTGGTGTGTATTCTCTTCACCGCTGTGGTCTGGGGTTTCGCTCTGTTCTTCTTCTTTCAGGGTCTCAGTACATGGCAGGTGGGTCACACACACACACTTTACCCCTTTTTGCCCCTAAATCTTATTTGTCATATATACATAAAAATGTGGGGTTTTATTCATCAGTGACGCATTAAATTGATCAAAAGTGACAGTAGAGATATTGATAATAATAATAACAGATTTTCCAAAAGCAGTCAGACACCTGAGGTGGTGTTTTATAGGGAATATAGTCACTGCGCTGTGTGTCGTCACACTGTATTCACAAGCTCAGCTTCTCATTGGTTAAATAAAGTCACCAAGCAGCGGGTCAGTAACGGTGTTACCTGTGTGCAGTGATGTTGACCAAACTGTGTCTCACCAGAAAACTCCAGCGGAGTCTCGCGAGCACAACCGTGAGTGCATCCTGCTCTCCTTCTTTGACGATCACGACATCTGGCACTTCCTGTCCTCCATCGCCATGTTCGGTTCCTTCCTGGTGAGTCCAGAACATCGGTCAGACTCAGAGAACTGAAAATCATCATGTCAGCTAAACACCGGTCTGTCTGTCTGTCTGTGGTCTCAGGTTCTGCTCACGATGGACGACGACCTCGACACGGTTCAACGAGACAAAATCTACGTCTTCTGATGGACCGATACTAGCCGATCACAGAGCAGCACCGGGGGTGTCGGCCAATGAGAGGCCTCGCAACTTGAATATGTTTACCTGCCAGTCAGAGACGGCGGGGGAGGTGCCTCGTATGAGAACTAATGCTGATAGGACAGTGAATGTGCCAGTCAAACTGCCAGAGCTCCTCCCCTCATCATGTTAATCGCTTCAGACCTGCTCCAAATCTCAATGCATTTTTGTACCGGTGACGTTTCTCTGCGTTTGTGTCCGTCTGTGGCCTTCTGTGTCTGTGGTTTTGGACCGTGTGGTTCTGACTGTAATCCGAGCCGAGCTGCTTCACTCATCTAAAGATGATTCTGATCTGAGAAAATCAACTTTGCACTGTCTTAAAAATACAGATTGTGTTTTTACAGAGTACAAATGAAATGATTACTGAATAAATACTTTTTACGGTTGTTTTCGGGCGTGTAAATCTGTTGTGCTTTATGATGACCGTGGACAGTTTACATGCACCGAAACAATTCATAAAACCATATCTAAAAATATATTTCAGAAAGGTTGATGCGACGTTCACACGTTTTATAACCTCGTGACCACATTCAACCCCGTTACAAACGTGTGTCGTCCACAAAAACATTCTGCCATGTAAGGTTAGCCTCCGTGTTTAAATCAAACTGATGATCAATCACACAAAACATCATTAGTGAGGGACACGGAGATGGCTAGCGATCAAATATGAGCACCTGTGTTGTCTTTTTATATTCATGCATGATTCCGTTATGAATTCAACACTTTTATTAATGTAAATCTTTAACAGACGTATTATGGGTTTTATCATGTTACTGTTATAAGGTTAATTTATAGAGTTTGTGGTGAAGAGAAGCTTACCTCAGAAGCTCCGGCGGATTCGCGCGCTCCGCTCCAGGCAGTTTAACGGTTTTTGTCACGTGATCCATTCAAACAGTAAAAACGGTTGAACTTTAATGTAACGACAGTCATTTAGGTATTTTCAAAATATTTAAAATTGTTTTCAATTTATATAAATTTGTGACTAAAAGGCAATTTTTATATCAAACAAACTTGTCTTTTTGATATTTCAGATATGTAAGCCGCACCTGCTTTAGTTTATTATGAGATTATAGAAAAAAGTACACCTGCAGTATTAAAGTATTCGGTTCATTTATTGTTTACAAAAATATCTTACAAATGAGATCTGCACATTGCACACAGCTATAGAAATGAAAATGTAGACAAAACTGGTTTGTGAAACTGCTGCTGAGCTCATAAACAGGTCAAACACCGCAGATCTTCAGCTGTCCTGAGAAACACACGTCTGCTTGTTCAAGCTGCTTCAGTAATGAAGAACTTTAATCTGGTTGTTGAACTAACCCACCGCCGCTGGACGCGGAACAGAGGACTGAGTGTGTGAGCGAGTGTGTGTGTGTGAGTGCGTCCGTGCGAGCGAGCGCGTGCGTGCGTGTGTGTGAGTGCGTGCGTGCGAGTGTGAGTGTGTGTGTGAGTGTGTGTGAGTGTGAGGGAGTGTGTGAGTGCGTGCGTGAGTGAGTGTGTGTGTGAGTGTGTGTGTGAGTGAGTGAGTGTGTGAGTGAGTGTGAGTGTGTGTGAGT